TTTGTAAAAGTCCGAACTACAAAAATCATTCGGGGTTTGACCAAACGATGTTGTATATCCTAGGTTTTACCGAAATCAATTGGTAAATGTCCGAATTTYGGACATTTACCAACAGTAGTCSGCGAAACCTAGGATTTACCGGTAAATTCTAGGTTTAACCGGTATTCGTACTTTAACCGTAACATATACGCAAAATAGCCTAAAATAATTTCAAAATTAACATTTCTAGTGCATAACGTCACTAAATATACAATACATAATATACATATATGCGTTATCGAGATAATGTTGTTCGTAAMCCTATAAATATTGTTATTTAAGACATTTCCCGCAACGCAGAACTATAAAACGTAATTTTTTTCGAACTGTGATTTTGAACCTTGGTGAACTCAAGTCTAACCCAGACCTTAGACTCTTACCTATATAAGCAATGGCGTAATGTATATATATATTATTTATAGATAGTATGTATTCATGTAAATAATAATTATCACACGTATGATGATGATCCGAGCAAAACGTATTTTCTGTTGTGAAATTTARGCATTTAAAAAAATTAATGTGATAAAAAAAACTATACACCAATCGGTTCGTTTTTTCTAATAAAACGTTCTATATTTTATATCATCGTTGGATCATGAAATATTATAGCATCAAAATCGACGGTTATTATTACACCTACCTGTATAATATGATCCCTTAAATTAAACGATTGGTAGTTAGACATGGAAAATTAAGTACTCGATTTAATCTAAAATAAAACCCAAAACTATCATTCACGACTTTTGAGTTTTAAGAAGTTGTATATGATGTATGTACGCGTATTTACGTATTATATTATTATTATATCATTATTATAGACACCTATGCTATATCTATGGCCCTATTTGCCCTATAATAATATACACAATTATATTTTACTCTCGATGTATATTTTTACTAATTCGAATTCTTTCTGTTTATAGCATTCCGGATGGCGAAAGTTGAGAAATATTGTCCAATGGACGCCGTTCTTTCAGACCTACAAGAAACAGAGGTATCCGTGGGTACAGCTAGCCGGACACCAAGGTACGTTCATTTGCGTAAAATCATAATATATTTTAGACTAATCCTATAATAATTTTAAGGTTAACCTTGTTGACGAGTTCCATACTCATTACTTGTTATTATTACTCTCAAAGACTATAACGCACGCGTTGTAATTAGATGGATTATTAAGATTTCAAGAGAGAAATTCGATAGGTATCGAATCATTATCGAACATTTAATAAGTTGCTTATGAAATATGTACTGATAAAACATATGGCATAGGCGCAAGTAGCGTGGAACTAAGGAGGATTAAAGCCCGCATTAAGGGACTTTAAATTGTTGGAAGCCCCCAAAACAAAACTTTAAGATTTCACACCAAAAAAAAATGTACGAGAACTTTTCTCATTATCAAAATCTTTGCCCCCCCCCTCCACAATCTCAACTCTATTTCGCATTTATACGTATAGGACTCTTCTGCAGACTATATTGGAAACGCATCGATACGATACTTACTACTTTATAACGTGTTGGGTAATTCTTCTTGAAAATGTTGATTGGACATTCGCCTAACTAGCTACTAGCTATGTGGTATATTTTATATATTATTATCACTTTTACATTTTTCTTAATACTCAGTTTTTTACTAACGAAATAACGAAATTGTACGAAAAATAAACAAAAGAGTTTTCTTCAACACGCATATTACATATATATATATATATATATGTATATGTATTTAATTATTAACTACCGATATCGGTATTTAAAAAATTAAAACGATTTCTATACACAGTAGATACCTACCTATGCGATATGGCGTATAATATAATGGTATTATTTACTTTCTCGAATGGACTTTAGAACAACAAACGAATCACAATAATAACCACGTAAATTAAATACGCATATAATATATCAATACAGAGGTACGACCGAACAAAATAATAATTACGCGTATAAATTCCCTAATGCAACATGATCATTGTTAATTGTTTAAAAACCACACACGATCCAACTCGCTCACGTATATAGTAAATATAAAGTTTAAATTATGTAGGTATACACGATCCTGTAATAGTAATAAGGGACTATCGATAGTATGTGAAATCATTGAATTCGTCTCCTATATATTATTTTCTATACTTAAAATACCTCATAATATTTTTAAGCTCCCGTCTGGAAAAATTCACATTTAAAATTGTTTTTTTTTTTTTGTTACTGCCGACTAGGATATCGTTTATCGTTACGTCATTCCTCTACCCTTGCATAGTATTTTATGGTAATCTTGTAAATAAGGGTATAGTAATTAGGGTCTGTGATTCACATCAGAGTGTAATGTTCACTATGTCTAACATCCTATTTCATTGGATAACTCAAAAACTACTCGATTGAATTTGAATTTATATATTTCAAAATGGCAGCGACAATCATGTCGTAATAAATTTACAGTTAAAAAGGGCTGTTAAAAAAATAAATATGTTTGTATATCGGTCAATCCGTAAACGGTGTAAAAAACCAAAGCTTATTTTAAAATATGATGGTTTTTAAGTTAATAGCTATGTAGATATTCCTAGGTCTATCAAAAAATTATTAAATTATAACTCAGGAGTGGACATAATGGATGATTCATTCTGAATACAGGATCTCACTTACGTAGAAGGTTTTTTTTTATTTGAACAGTCCACGTTATTTATTTTTATAACACGCATTTAAACGATAATAGTGACATTATTATAGTCATTATTTTAATATTAAATATATGCGTACATCTATTATGATTTCGAACAAGTTGATTTTAAATTACCGATGACAATTAAAAAAACAAAAATAGGTAATTGTCTACTGAAAAACCTTCTTAAAATATTATTTTATGGAATCGATTTGAACGAAAAAGAATAATATTTCGAACAGTTGCCACGGAGTTAGTATTGCCTGCATTAAGACAAAATCTCGAACATTGCATTGTTGTTTTTAATTATTCACGCGTTGTATATATAATAGACGTATTGGGCACGGTATTAGTTAAGGTTAGTGTGAAAAACAAATTCTTTGTCCGCTGTTTTAAAACTTCATTAGAATTATTATGATTATTTAGTTTTTTAATTAACAGCATTTACTATTAGAGATACGTTTTTCAGATAAACGGCTATATATGGTTTGGTTTTTTTTCACTTATATTTGTACGCTTAAGAGAGTATAATATTAATTAATAATATCTACCGAATGTTACTACCATGTTCAGTCGTTATGCACTGGAGAGCGTGTTAAAAATTTTGAAATCTCAAACATTGGWTTTATTTGATTTCCGATAGAAATCTATTATAACAACGCTGCGGTGTATTTTGCATATAGGCTAACACGATAATAAAAATATTATACCTTCGTGAGATCATATTAATTATTCGTAATGATCATAATGTTATTTATTAGTAATTATTATTTGATTCACACGTAATACTATATCATCATTTTATCGCTCTATAAATTAATATTGATATCGTGTGCATTTAACCTCCTAAAAATAAAATGTAACAATTAGAAAAAATAACAATAAGTCAAGGTCGGCAGTTTAATTCATTACGTTTTTTGTAAGGTTAGGAAAAGCGCCTGCTGACAACATATAAGTATTATATTGTTACGTGCGTATGTATCCAACACGTTAGGACCTATTCCGATCAAATATTGATAAAAAATAAATTCACGACGTTAATAATTTTATAGTTAATATTCATATTATGTGCCACATTTTTATATAACAATATTATTATTTCTACTCGACGCATTATGATTTTTGCTCGTCAACAATAATATAATTATTTTATGCGACTTGTTCTAAACTACAATCTTAGTTATGTATTACACTAACCATAATTTGATATAAGTATAATACTATATTATAGCACGTCATAGGTTATAATGCTAGATTCTGAGCGGAGCGATGAATGCAATGATTGATTGATGTGTGTGTTTTTTTCGTGTCTGTCATCAAGTCATCACTGGGGCAGTAAA